AGCTTTCAATCCTCCTTGGTGAAGTAGAGCTCGGCGCTCTTCGGCATGTTAGCTTGGTAGGGCAGGATCCCCTCGTTGGATTTTAGCTAATAGAATCGCGATCCCCCCCCATGGCTCAAGGTGCCCGTCGCAGTTAGGTTACTTTGCCGGATGAGGGGAGGAGTTCAGGGTGCTCGGGCACAGCGCGCACCCGTCCCCCCTCACGACCTCACCCCTTGAGACTCCAGAGTGTTGGCGATGACGATGAACGCACCTTGAGCCAAAATGGCTTGAGCCAAAATGAAAATGGCTACTCTCTCTTTCTTTCGCCAGGGTTGTGGTGCAGGGGTTACCCCCTACACCGCGCGCGTTAGCGCCCCCGACTGTTGCGCGGTGCCAAAAGTGGAAAATGGCTACTCTCTCTCTCTCTCTCTCTCGTTCACCAAACGCAGCGGAACGAGAGCAGCCTTCTCTTTTTGCTGTACATGTATCTATTCGTCTGATCCGGGGTGCATCGATGATCGATCGTGTTACGTATATCATGTTGAAACGCTGCTGTTCCCTAGCGCCAGAGTGCTCGTATGTTGGCCACGACAGGTAGTCCGCACAACTCCATCAAAGACAGATCATGGCGGTACAACAAGACGCGCTTTTTGATGCCCCGCAATCACCCCTTGCTTCTGCTCTGATTATCTTGGGTGGATGTGAACCAAGTCTTGGCGGATGCTCAGCAAGCAGTCGCAAGATGTAGTAAGCATGCTCTGATCGAGCTGCCGAGCACCGCCTCGACTCTATTCTGCGATTTCCTCTTGCCTGGCTCGATGCTGAATGTAGGCTGTGAAGGCTAAGGAGTCTCTGGACGGGGCCTTCACCACAGGGGCAGCGAGAAAAGCATGCGAGTGAGCACAGCACGGCCCATGCCTTGGCTTGATCATCTGCGAGGAGGACCGAGTTCGTAATGAACTCACAGTACTGAGGATCCTTCGTGTACACCTTCCAAGACCCCAGGACAGCGAAAGTGCCCTGAAGTTACCACAGCTTCAGGTGCAGGGCCTCCGAGAACGAGGAACCCTTGTACCTGGAATCTGCCAACTCACAATGCCACGACGCTTCTAAGAATTGAGAGTTGGCGAACTTGCTTCCAGAAACTCTCAAGCATCAGCGCACTTGCCGAAGTTGACAAGCCAACTGCCATCTGCTAACGTCCCCCTGCAAACTTGCGGCACGTGCAGACAGAAGCCAGTTGTAGCATGAACGCAGTCCTGCCAGTGTTTGGAGCGAGGTTTGGGCCGCTAGCAGGGGAAGTTCCGGAACTCGCCTGCATGCCGCGATTTTGAACAACCGTGGCTCGGCTGCTTCCCGGCATTCTTGCCGAGGAGCTGTTCGAGCCCTAGGCTTCCGCTGTGGATTCGAAGCTGCCGCGATGGTCTTTCCTGCAATGGATGAGCCATTTCTGGGACCTTGCCTGGTGCCTGACATGCATGAAAACGTCAGCTCCTTCGAGGTAGTCGGCAAAAGCACGCATGCCTGCGCCGGCCTTGCCAGAAATCTCAAGGAAATCATGGCGACGGCATGTGACAGTCGCACCTTGTCCCCTTGTGCAGCAGCCTGCTGCACCCAGAGGCAATACCTCAAGGCCGTGCTTCAGACCCAGATGCACAGAAAGTCTAGAAACTGGGGTGCACACGCAGGCTGCTTTGAGAGCAGCTCTGCGTAGGTCAGGTCTTTGTGCCTGCCATCGGGTTCCAGGCAGACTTCAGCTTTTGTGCTGTTCTCTGCACATTGTAGAGGTGCAAAGCCAAAGTAACAGAGCATGGCAGGAAATCGCAAAAGTGTCGGGCAAGCTTGCCAAAACCGACTTTGTTTTGATCTCGCGGATCTGGGACCTCAGGCTCACCTAAACTGCCGCTGAAACACTCAAAGTTGGCGTCTGGGTTCAGAGCGTGGTCTGACTCCGAGTCATGGCCCCCGCCTGAGGAACCGGCACGTTCGGCTTGTTAGTCCCATATCAGGCTGCACACAACCACGAATCAAGCGATCCGCCCTTAAGTTGGAGCTGAAGACACGATGCAAACGTTGTTCACCAGGAATTGAGATCTTAAGTTTTAACTGGGTGTTGGAGAAAGTGCCCTCCGTCAAGCTGGCCAAATCAGCACTATGAAGGAGAGTCACCAAAGTCCAAAGGTAGCTATCCAGACCTGCTAGGCACAAGACACCACTTTTCAAGCCGAAGCCTATTAGGCAGGAACCGAAAAGGAGGAGCCCCGGCCCCCGGCAACCGGCAGAACAAACATTCTTGGAGTGTCACCTAGTCACTAGTCTGTTGCGGAAGGTTGTTCTATCTGGCCCTCACCAGGCAACGGTGCACGTTGCCGCCCTTTATTTGCTGTTGTACATTCCGCAGTTGATATGTTGGGGCCAGTCGGCATGAAGCCTCCGCTTGGGACAGCTGTTGTGCATCCGACTCCTCGGATCCGTCGTGGACGACTCAAGCGACCCTAGAACGCCCAAATACCCGCTTAGATTCTCGGCTAGCTGCGCAAGATTACCCCACAACAGGAAAGGGGTTTGCAGCAGCTCTCTCCCTCCATCCTCTGTCTAGACTCTAGACCTCAACATGCAAAACTCAAACCAACCGAAACGAAACCTCGTCCACAAGTTGAAAACGTGGAAACCGCGGGCGGTTGGAGCACAGCTTTCTGGCCTGAATGCGCGGGCTGAGGATCTGCTGGAGCTTCCTGCCAACGCGGATGTGTTCCACCATCAGCAGTCGCCAAAGAAACTGTGGCAAACGCGAACAAAAAAGCCCTTCACATCTGGAAGTATCCTAGCCAGTCCCATCCCGCATGATGGGGAGACTTGTAACCACCGCGTTCGATTCATCAGCGCATGCATGCCACCTCACACCTCGGAGTTCAACACTCCAGCAGTGCCATCCGAAGCGAAACGGCAAAGTCGGCGTGACTAGACTAGACACAGTTGCGACAGCAAATATGGTCTCAGGCTTTCCCTCTCCCTCCCATGCAGCTTAAATACCTGATAAGGAACATAATGCTTTTTTGACTCACTTGCCTACTACTAAAGGTGAGTTGGTAAACGACAACTCCCGCAAGCTCCGCAGAGCTAGCTTTTGGATGCTTTTGGTGAGATCGAGCCTGATACAACAGAGAGAAGCTGCAGTGCCATCGGAATCAAAAGGCCCGGAATCGGACTTGCAGATTTCTTAACCTTCTTTCTTCCCAGACACCACATCGCCAACTGTCCTTGTCGCCATTTTCACATCTTGTGGACACTGCCTGATGCAAAATACATGTCGACCGTGCAGCTCCACAGCTCCGCTGAGTGCAGGGTTGGTTCTGTTTGGTCTAGATTCAACGGACGACCTCCTCACTTTATCATCGCAGCAACAGCACGATCTCCTAGACTGCGTTGCTAGCGGTTATTGCATTTACACGCAGCGCCAACGCGGGTACTCTCTTCACACTTGAACACGCACGTCGCGTAAGCACTTGTGCCAAGCCAGAGAATAGAGCGACAGGGACAGGGAGGAACCATCAGACCTGCGTGCGATTGCGCAAGAAGTTCAGAAAGTCGCCGTACTCGGCCGTGCTCAGCTTGTCGCCACGAGCCAACACCCAGGAGCAGTAACTGGCAGCAAAGAGCGAAGAATGCGAAGAGATTCAATTTCACGCTGACCGGCTAAGCTTGGCAGGGTCGAGCTGTGCTTTTTGGAAATCTGCGCATGCTCTCCTTCCCTATGCTACCGTGTCTCTACACTAGGACCAAGTGGGGCCAGCGATGTATCTGTTCCTATGACTTCAGATTGCATATGCCTGGGATGCTGCGCCAAGCATTCTTCGAACGTGAGGTCCTTGCACTTGCCGGACTGCATACGACGGCTGTCACCTGTGGACATGGGCAGGTTCCTGTCCCCACCGCACTCCAAATCAAAGAGGACGCCTCGCTGCGCCTGCGCAGCTACAGCACGCAAGTAGCGCCGGCCTGACCGAATCCTACCTCCCAAAGCTCGCAAGCATGACCGTCCTAGACCATCATCCATGAAATAATTCAACGCCTCAGGTGCCCATTCAAAATGCTGTACACTCTTCCCGCATGTGGATCACATGCAGATCGTGCCAAAACCCTCGACGTCCACGTGCCGCGGCACCGTGCCGCGGCTGTCCGAGTGGCGTGGGCTCCGGCCATGGCCGCATCTCGCATCGCTTTCGCATCGCTTTCGCCCGATTCGCACCATTTCTCGTGACTTTCTCTGCGCGCGTTCGATGCTCGTTGTCTTTCTGATGAATCTGCTGTTAAAGCAGTCCATGCAGATCCTCGGACCGACCACTTGATCAGTGCTGCGATCCTTGGAACGCAGGCGCTGTCGGAGAAAATCCTGGCGCCGGGAAGAATGACCTGCGAACTTCTGCGCGCCTGCAAGATGTGCATGTCGCAGCCGCAGCATTGCTGGATTTCGGAGCCGGTGCCAGCTTGTGCAAGAGAGGCTGCGGACGGCACGAGATTTCTCGCACGAGAAGGGCTCACAGCTACAGACTTCAGCGAGGAAGCTCTTAAACGAGTGGCCTCTGTAAGCGCTAATCAGATCACAGCTCCTACGAATTTCCGAAATAAGGCGACGACATCTGGCTCGGCAATCACCTGGTTCATCACGGCGTGGCACAATGCAAGAATGTGATTGGGTCATCAGCATGGTTACGCTGTCGGCATGCAGCTATTTGCTGAAAGGCTTTGCTGCTAAGGGCGCAGCAGGCTGCTCTGCGCCAGGCGTGGACAGCAAGGAGCTACTGTCGTTTGGGTCTGGGCAGATGGTAACCTCAGCACCATCGAAAAGTTTCTTCGACTGCTCTGGGGTGCAAGGCTTTTTGCAGCAGCTCCATGGTTGTTGGCCAGGCGGCATGGTACTCCAGCTGCGACTCGTACACAAATTCCTCAGTCCGACTATATCGAAGCAGCTACATTGCCCGACAGCCCTCAGATCCGGACCGCGCAGATTGCACACTTGTACAGGGGACCTTTGCCCTGACACGGTCAAACAGTGAGGAGAAGGGAGAATTGAGATGCTCGGCTGGACTGTCATCAAGGAACATGCGCTTCTTGGGCCCGACCTCTGGCACTGCAGAAACATTCCCGGTCCTTCCAAAAATCAGACAGTGTCGCATGACCACAAACATACTTCTGGCAGTAGTGTCTGAATTTGGCCTCACCGATGAGGAGCTGCCATGAGCTTCACCCAGCCCTGTCGAACGCTCCGCAAGTGCAAACGCATGGAAGCGCAGAACAAGAGTCCCTGCCATGTGCTCCCAAGCACCTAGACGCTAGTCTCTGATCCTAGCGCTCAGAGCCTTCTCCAGGCTGGCTTTCTGCTCCAGCTGAGACCTTTCCAGCCAGTTTCAAAACGAACCGGACTCTGCCAATGGTGTGAGACATAAACTGGCACGATGGTACTACGCACTCCTTGCGGATCTCGGCCTGCGTCCCAACCGCAGCATTCTCTACTTCAGGCGTCAGTTCCAGAACAACCTCGGAAAGTATTGTCTGGCACGGAACAGCACTGCGCATTTCGCGTCAACACGTTGGCTCTGTAAGGCGCCGGCTGTCCTCGGAGTTTGATCCACGCCTGGCACCTGCACGGCAACATGAAGTTCCCTGAAGAGGATTGGTGTGTGCTTACCAAGCACTGCCTCACATGGGGCAGCTGCCATGCTGATGTCACCCTATCGTAAGCAGTTCTTGCTACGTGGCGGGCGTGGTAGGAGTAGGTGGTTCGTTGCGAGGCTAACTCTCAAGTGCAATCCCCCACTGAACGCAGGTCTGGTGGGGATCTGTCCAAGGTTTGGGCTGAGTCGGGGTTGGGAACCGCAAAGCTTAGGGCACGTCCAAATGCTAAATGCTGGCTTCAGGCTAGCGATTCTTAAACGCCTAGTGAGCAGACACAGAGAGCGCCTTCCATGATACAGACAAGAATGCGAATGCGCCAAACAACCTCACACACGCAAGCTTTCTTACCGAAGCGACTTTGCTTTTTCGGCTGCTGCAACGACTTCGAGTGGGGGCAAGTGCTGCAAGACGCCTCCAGCATTATCTAGAACATTGTGAAACTGCGACAATGCACGGGAAGACAGCACCAACAGCAGATGTGGAAAATATGCCCACAGGGACCAACTCGCATGGCACTGCCCTCTGGACCGTGCGACATCACTCTTCTTCTTGCTTGCCCAACAAAAACCTTTTCCGGACCTGCGTGGGGGAGGGTGAGCAGGCCGCACACTTTGTCTGCAAAGGCTTTTCCGAGGCATGGACGTACTCCTCATGAAGCTGCTTCCTGCGATCATAGAACCTGCATGCAGATCCAACAGATGCTACACAAGAGAGAAGCAGTACCGGACCAGTTCAAGAAAACGTCTCAAAGCTGAGCACTCTAGCATGACCACCTCATCACGACATGTTCGCAACAAGCCTTCACATGTGAGAAGTCTTGCTGTGAAGGTACAGGCCCTGCTGCTCTTTCGTATTCGCCTGGCTACCTACTCCTTGCGAGTGGACTTCTCAGATAAGGCTTCAAGCCCGGAAGTTTAGAGTTCCGGCGCAACCAGGCACTGATACTGATACTGTGCTCTCTGGCTGCCGCCCAGCAGTGCTGAATCTCCTACTGGAACAACCATGTAGCATGGCGACCAAGATCCAAGAAATCGTGTCTCACAACACCCGTTTGGACAGCATTGGTATGTGCTGCTGCCGATCACAGATATGATGCACCTTTCACTTAAGGAAACGAAAACAAGGCTTTCAAGGAGTTCTGCGAGCTGGCAGGCAAACCACCGCATGGTTGCCGTTCACGCACTTCTGCCGTTCACGCACTTCTGTTGGCTACTGTCAGTGTATTCTTTCGCTTTCTGTCTAAATAAAGTCTAGGCATCTCATACTCAGTGCATGTGTGTGTGTGTCACAAACCTAGCGTCCCAAGCATCAGCTCTGGGATGCTTGCACATGGAGACACATTCGTTCAATTTCCATTGCCATCTTGCGAATCTGACTCAGGCAGACACTCAAGCTGCAAAGGATCTCGCTGCCTCAGCTGCATAACTAGCGTTAGCCACAGGCCTGCAGGCACAGTCACTGCTGCGTATGCAAGCCACAACGACCCGAAACCTCTTCCGCAAGAACGTAGCTTTCCAACCACTGCAAACGACGGACCGCATGCTTTGCCAAGACCCAAGCAGAGCGAAAAGGCGCTCGTCAATGCGGGCAAACTTGGCAGCATGTTCCTCGTTTAACCTGAGAGCATTTGAGCTTCAAGATTTCTGCTGTCAAGGAGAGCACAGGAAAGTCTGGAAACGTCTAAACTGCACACAGCCACGGCTTGTAGCACTTGGGCCTACCACCTGCCCTTGTCTTGCAGACGCCGCCGCCCAAGCGCGTAGAAAACCTCGGTCAGGGCATCCCGAACTGAGCGCATCCCTCGAAAACGAAAACCTTCAAGCCAGCAGAGCATTGCAGAGTGCAGGTTGCGTACTCTCATCTGATCGTGCGCTGCATTGATCCTTGCATCAGAGCAGATACTGGGCTGGCTTTACATCTCGGTCTTTCCACGAGTGCTGAAGGCAGCCGGGTGCTCAAATTGCCCATGCTTATAAGTCTCTGCTGGAGCATCTGCACTCGCTTCCGTCTGGCCTCGTTGTCAAGTCTACAAAGTGTCTGGCACCGGAGCGATTCACACGTTCTGCTGTCAAGGTCGCAGCCCTGCGGAATCGTCTCTCCCAGAAACCCTCGGCGCCTGAGAGTGGAGGTCACCGTCAAGGGTGGTACTTGCATGACACGCGGACTACGTTTCTGAGGCCAGTACCGGAAGAGTCATGGAACAGGACCGTATGAGCCTGCTACAACATCTTGAAGTGTTTTGGACGAAAGCCAAGCGCTGACCTCTTCAATCTTCAGACATTTTTGCCGGGAAAGGAAGATGAAGTTTTCTCTTGTGCTCCGTGTTCTATGTATGGTCTACCCGCCTTTGCACAAGGCGCTTCCACGTGCTTCCACCCCTCTAATTCACCCTACTATACCCTACCCGGCTCTACCCCTACCAAACAACACCAGACCTAAGCAAACGATTCTGAACCTTTGCTGATGAATGTGCTGAACCTTGCTGCATGGCTGCATGACACTATTTGACGATTCTGGGACCTGAGGAGCTCGCATGAACCCCGGCCTTCACAGGCACATGGCCATGTCCCATTCTCGATCATCCAACCGGATGTGAAGTTCTGTAGTTTTGCATGCAGTAGACTCAGAAGACAGCTGCTGGGAACGCAGAGATCTGAAAATGAAAGAGCGAGAGAGACAACGGAATTTCGGAGTGCAGCTGAAATCTCTGCTTCGCTTCAAGATCCGTGTGTCGCTCGCTCGCCACGACAGCCTGAGAATTGTCCGAGCTGAAAAGGCGGAAGCTCAGGTTCCTCGTAATGGGAGTGTCCAGCCTGGCAGAATCAAACAAGGCAGACCCTGTGACAACCTGCGCAACAAAGGCCCGCTGTACCTCTGTGGACAGCAGCATCTTCCTCCACGAATGATCATCGCTCTACGGTTGTATCACGGTTGAACCCCCAAGTTCCAGCTCTTGGTTTATCAGCGGATCAACCCTCCTGCCCGCCAGCTGAAAGTGTGCCATTCATAGGGTTTTCGATGAAGAGCTTTAGACATGTATGTTGGCCGCAGACCGAACATTCACCTGCAGTGCCTGAACAAACAATGTGACGTGCAGAGCTCATCACTACTCTTGCTCAGGCCTCTTTCTCGCGCTGCAGCACAAGCTGTAGCTGCTCAAGATGAATGCAATCGTCAGAGATGCCGAACAAGGTCAGATCTCTTCTATGTGCAGATGTACTGCCTGCCCCGCAGCACAGGCTGCACAGGGCGATGACACTGGTACACATTGCTAAGGGGTTGCTAAATCTACCCTTAGCGTCATGCCTCGTCCATGTAGCCAGATGTACTTCTCACTGGACGCTCACGTTTGCACACAGCTGCATCAGAATCAGACGGCTCTGCAAGACAATATCTGTCATGACTCCGCTATACACTTTTGGCGCAGTTTGTCTTGTAGTCTTGTCTGGCCGATGGACTGTCATGCCTGCAAATTTGTGAACAAAAACTGTCGACAGGCATTGCCCGTCTGCAAGAGAAGAAAGGAAATTACAAGACGAGACCGAAAGCTAAACTCCATCTAGCTGTCTCATCCGGTGCAAAGTCCAGCTCACGCTGGATACTCGTTCGTAAGATAGCCTGGGCATGACCCCGACTGCGACACAAAGCCACACGACTAGACTGTCGTAAGTAATCCGCTGTTGACGGCGGCAGCGGCATCACGTCCTTCCTGAGAAACAAGACGCGTCCTCAGCGAAGTGAAAGACGCTCTTCGCTTGCCTTGATCGCCCAGACCACAAGCGATTGCCCACGTCGGCAATCACCTGCTGCGAAGACCTCAAAGAGCTTCGGCCGAAAATCCAACGGCACTAGCGTCCACAATGAGCGCCGAGCTTTCGGATTTGATGTCTGAAAGTCGCCTTCGCTCTTCTGATACAAGGCCTGCGGCTCGCATACCAAAGCAATGTGAGGCTACGACACCTACGACTGCATGCAAGATTTCTCAATGCTGCTAACGCGAACCTTGTAGTTGCCACGCTCGTCCATGTCAACGCCAAAAGCAGCAGCTAAGGGATTCTCAGGCCCTGGACACGACATGCAGCAGCATGGAGAGCAGAGCATAAAATGTAGGTACAGGATGGTACAGGGGGCCGCTTGGAGAACCCCAGAGGACAGCTGCCAGGCCTAGGAAGCCCAGGGCGAGGAGAATCAAATCTGCTTCGATGATCTTCTCAGATCCGGGTTGCTCCATCATCCCTCAGTGTACACAACGCAATCATTTGCTGGATATCATCTTGCCTAAAAACATGGTAGCGGCTTCTGTAGGGCGCCGTGTGTTTTGCGAGAGTTTTGAAAAGAGGCTTTTTTGGGAACGTGCTTAAACGTGTGGTAGAACGGTTCACAACGCTGAGAGGAAGAGTGTCATAATCTTCGAGACTGTGTGTACTTTTCGACGATTCTAGATATTTTCCCACACGTTCAGACACATTTTTTGGAGCGGGTCAGGGAAAAGTTTGTTTTGGAGGCAGAGGTCTAGAGGTTCTGTTAAACGACACCCCCAGAGCACATGCACACGAAGCAACGGTAGCAGCAACACCACCTTGACGGGCAACGTCTTCACGGTCATTATCAGCACCACCAGCATGGTCCACATGTACCCTGAAAGTGGGTTGAAAGCGCATGACCTATGTTGGGGATTATTGATATGTTGTGTTGTGGTGTATTATATTTCTTATTTTGGGATTTCGCACTTTGATTATAGTATGATGTACCCCAACACCCTTTTCTAATTATTAAGGCTTAAGGCCCCTACATGAAGCCTGGCAGCACCTTCTGATGCAGTGGACAGTCAACCTGACACTAAACCCTAAAGCCTAAACCCTAAACCTGCAGAATATGGCGGCCTGATTTGCCTGTGACATTATATTGGGCTTCATGTAACTCAACTGCATGTCTGCGCAAACCGGACGTCAATAAGTACCACGGCCACCACCATTACCCGCCCCGCCCCACCCCGGCGAACATCACCATAA